GAATCACTGCAACTTACCCCACAATCCTCCACCCTACGTAACAGTCCATCAGCCTATGCCAGTACAGTCTCAACTAACAGAGGAGCAAGTGAGAGGGGAGCCTAGAGGACCAGGCTTGGACTCCTTGTATGGTCTCTAAGGAAAAAGGCTGATTTGTTCCCTCTTGCTGCCTCCAAAGTTCTCCACTAAGCACTAAGTTTCAGAACAAGATAGGTGGCAATGGGACAGACCTAAGAAGAGATACTAAATTTCATAACAAAAAAGCAGTAGAGGATCAACTCAAGAAAAAAATAATTTTTAAGAAACAAACACAATAAACTTGATCATACTCAAGACCTAAGTTTTAGGAACAATTTATTCTGGTTATTAGGTAGTGCACATTTCTGTTTGTGCATACTTTTAGCTGCTGAAGTACAACACGTTCATGTTTTTAATCTGGGTTAAAAAAATCCTTCCTTTTTTGGTATGCACAACTTTTCAAGCATAAAAACATTTCAAAAAATAGACTGATTTATATGCCAGATGTAAGCAGCATCTTTTCTGACTTCTTGTTCCTTTTTGCTGTTTGTTTGTTACCATAAACTTATCTCATGGGAGTTCACAGAGAGTTAATGGCAAATGGCAAAAGTACTGTACCATGCTTCTCTTGACTATCAAGAATTAGCTGAGTTTTCTGTCTCCTCTAATAGCCACTGGCCTCAGTGGTCTTTATAAGTCCCAATCAGAGTGTTTGGCAAGTGTCTGTGTACTGACAGAAACTTCCTCAGTAATCTTTTATTTGTAGATGCACAGTATTTCTCTTTGTAATAAATGACATAATTTTATTTCAAGTCTGAAAAAGCCTTTGGGAGGATATTAGTTTAAATTTGTTCTACAACAAATAATGTTATAGTTTTAATACTTAGAATAGGGAAATGCAATATAAATATTTGACCAGTACATAAGAATACATATACGTATGAGGTAAACAATTAGATTAAAAAATCAAAGACTGTCTAATAAAACTTCCATTTTCAGGCCAGGGATTTAGCTCAGTGGTGACGCCACCTGCCTTGCAAGCGCAGGGTCCCGAGCTCAATCCCTGGTACCAAAAAAACCCCCCAAAATAAAACATCTTCCATTTTCTGAAATGAAAGTGAAACTAATACCAGATTTCCTTACACCAAAACCAATAAAACTAGTCAAAAAACATTTGAGGCAACTGTTTCCAAGCAATGGGCAGGCAACATAGAAGTACAGTGGGACCTCAGTTCCCAAACTTAATTCTCGTAGGTTTGTATACTGAGGCATTACTAAACAGTCCTTGAAATAAAGGAATCACAGAAGTAAGTCCCATGTTTAACCTGACTTTCTACCAAGGGGTGTATTCCAGGCTAACACAGGAAGTGGAATCCAAATACAGCTCCAGTCTCACAGAACTGAAGAGGCAAAGATCAGAGTTTGGGGTAACTGAAGTACTTGTAAATGTAGCACCGGGCACCAAAGATGATAGAGCCCTAAGTAGGTAAAAGGGTATCATGGTTGAAATGTTAGTATCTCCCCAGATTCATGTGGTAAAACCTAATCACCGATGTGACAGTATTAGGAGGTGGGGCCTTTAGGAGGTAATTAGGTCATAAAGGTGAAGTCCCCATGTGTGGAATTAGTACATTTATGAAAGAGGCCTCAGAGAGACCCTCATACCTTCCACCATGTGAGGATACAGTGAGAAGCTCCTATGAACCAGAATATGCAAGTTTCCATCAGATAACAAATCTGCTGGTACCTTGATCTTGGACTTTTTAACCTCCAAAACTGTGAGAAATCAATTTCTATTGTTTATAAGCCACCTAGTCGTTGGTTTTTTTCTTTTTTAAATAGCAGTCTGAATGGACTAAGACAAAGGGACATAAAATAAATACCATATTAAGGAGCAACAAAGAAAGAACAGAAGATAGATTGATAGATATCTCATTTTTAGATCAGGAAAAAATAATTGAAAAGAGAAGAACAAAGTTTTAGTGACCTACAGAATAATATCAAATGATTTAACATGGACAGAGTCCCAGAAAAAAGGAAACATGGGGTAGAAAAATATTTGAAGAAATAATGACAGAACACTTCCCAACTTGAGAATCAAGAAAACCCTTAAGAAGGGCATGAAAAAAATCCTACGTTCAAATATATCTTAGGGAAACTACTTATAACAAGAGAAATCGTAATGCAGCCATAGAAAAAAAGACAATATATAGGGTTACGATAATACAAATGACTAATGACTTTTCATCAGAAACAGTAGAAGCTAAGGACAATGGAAAGTCATCTTTAATGTGCTAAAAGAAAATATCAACTTAGAATGCTATTTCTAGAGAAAACATTTCTCAAAAACTGTGGTGAAATAAAGACACTATTGGATTAAGAAAAACTGAGATAGTTTACTATCAGTAGACCTGCACCACTAGAAATACTGATGGAAGGACTCTGGGCTACAGAGAAATGGAAAAAGATGGAAAGTAGATCTAGAAGAGGTAAGAATGAAGACCAGGCATGCAAGCATATATATATTACAATATACATAGAAATAAAACATATGATACAATAGCACAAAGGAAGGAGGGTAAATGGAAGCTTACTCTTGTGAGGTTCTTATCATTCATATGCAGTGGTACAATATTTTAAGTGTAATAAGTAAGTTAAGGGTGTATATCAAGAGCTCTAGAGAAAAACCAATAAAGGAAATAAACACGGGAAATGGAACACTAAAGCATACTCAAGTAATTCAAAAGAAGAGAGAAAAAAGGCAGAGAAGAGCCAAAACCAAATTGTGGTAACCTGTGTAGGAAGGAGAAATATCTCAGAGGTGACTACCTTCAAAGCATGCAGGACAACCAGAGTTAGCCTACAGAGCCCACAGTGGGGCAGCAGGGCTGGAAGAGCTCAAGGCTCATGGCTAAACTACAGAGTTATCACAGAACAGAATTTCACTTAAAACAAGCAAAAACAAACACAGACAACAAAAATAAAGCTAGGAAACATTTTTAAAATGTGTGTTTCAATTCTTTTGTGTGACAAGTAAGATAGAAATAAAAATTACATGGAAGTAGTCGGGAAATGTACACCCTTCACTGGTTGTTAGGAGGTGGACAATGGAATGAAAAGTATATCCTTAACTTCTGAGAACATATAATGGTAGGAAATAATCATATTCCATCATAAAATGTTCTATTATAGGAAAACACAGAATAGCACAACACACAGATAAGAATTGTATTTTTATATATTCTTTAAGTGTATTTTTTAAAAGGTTTACAAATACAGCATTATACCATGCATTTGACTATATCATATATCATATAAATTTCTTATATGAAAGGTTAAAGCATTATCTTTGCAGATATAGTTTCTAGGTAATCTTCAAAAGAATCTATAATTTTCTGGATATTGAATGTAAGAACTTGATGAAAGCTGGAATGATGAAACACCAGTGATCTTGATCACCATAATAAACTCTAAAGGAAATCCTATAGCCTATATTGGCTAAAATTCTTCATATTAACTATAACTGGAAACAATAAAACAATTCACTTATGAAATTACATATTATTTTTAAAACAAAGTCATTGCTATCCAAATAACATTTTTATAAACAGTATTGAAACTATATATTAAAATCTACATATAAAGTCTTAAAATTAATCAGTTACTATGATTTCATTTAGAAATTTCTGTACTTGAAAAAACTTTGGAGAAAGTATTTTTTAAGTCACAAAGAACCCAGGCACAGTGGCACGTGCCTGTGATCCCAACACTCCGGGAGGGGGAGGCAGGAGGATCGCAAGTTGGAGCCCAGCTTGGGCAACTCAGTAATTTAGCGAGACCCTGTTTCAAAACACAAAATTAGGGCCGGGGATTTAGCTCAGTGGTTCCACTGCCTGCCCTGCAAGCACAAGGTCCCGAGTTCGATCCCCAGTACCAAAAAAAAAAAGAAAAATACAAAATTAAAAAAACAACTGGGAATGTAGCTCAGTGAGAAGACCTGGGTTCAATCTGCAGACATACAATGAATGAATGACTAAAAACAAAGAAATGTCACGAATTTTTCATTCATAGATTTAACATGTGTGGTTTTTAACATCATATACCCCCTCCAGGTCTGGCAGGTAGCAATTTATAACTTTGAGTCATATATTTCGCTGGGATAGACTAAAAGGCTGGTTGATGTTATAAAAAGAGCAAACAAAAATAATCCCAGCCAAAGTGACATCTTACATTTTTCTTTGCTCATTCCTGAATATGTAGTAACTTTCATGAAACACCTGAAGCACAAGGTTTAAAAATTTTTTAAATTAGGCTTCATTTTTTAAAACATGAGAAATGATGTATAGTGGAATTTGAAAATGTGTGAATTTATACAAAGGAAGGTTATGGAGGCGCCTCCAAGAAAAATCAAAGGGTTGAATGGTGGCCATCAAGAGAATGCAGGACATTAGTACTGTCTATAGACATGTTTAGCAGGCAGAAGTGTCAATTCGAGGATTCAAGTCAAATTGTGCTATTAAATGCTAGCATGATTCCTTGTTACATCAAAGTTAATGAACATCAGTATCTTCACTAGAGAATGACATAAAAATCACTATATGGAACTGCCTTTGACAGTATAAAATGATTATAGCACACGAAGTTCATCTAAATTCGCCTATAAAATTCAGAACTGAAGTAGCTCTTTGCTTATACATCTCACCAGGGGAGTGACTGGAAGGCGCATGGATTGTAATGCATATTTGCAGTAATCATAGCTCTACCTAAAGCATAAATGTTAACGTATGATGAAAGGAGGGACTGTGGGTAAAATACGACTATAGGAGCCTTAGTCATATTTCACCCTCAGTCCCTCCTTTCATCATCAAATACATTTATATCCATAGCCCAATACCTGGCTACACAGTGAGAGACAGATAAAAACAGATAGAAACAGATTCATTGGAGACAAGAAACCATTGTGTGCTATAGCTGATGATTACCTGCAGGTAGGAATTGCAGTTGGTTGTTAGCCAATCGAAGATGACGTAAAGCTCTCAGACGACCGATTTCTGGGCAAACAATTTCCAAGGCATTGTCACTGAGATCCAGACACTGGAGTTTCACAAGGGACCCAATAGCTTCAAAAAGCAGAGAAGAAAAAAGGCAAAATGAGTGTGATTCAAGTTTGACTCTCTAATGCACGTAAGTATTCTAGCTTGAAATATTTTAATACTTAATATTCTTGCCTCACGGAAAAGAAAGTTTTGTGCTAGTATCTGTTTCTTCTCTGTAAGAGAGAATCTTTTTTGTCTATGTCTTGTACTCTGAGGAACAACTTTGAAAATAACAATAGATAGTGTATTAACTATTGTTATTCTCATTGCTTTGTTATGAACATTTATATTACTTTTTTACAAAATTTTAAAAAAATCCTCTCAGTTGCTCACAAGATAAAGATCAAACTAAGTTTTGTGAAACTAATACTTCTACCATGACATAAAATACAATAGCTTAAAACAGAACAAAAAGCCAGGCACTGAGGTGCACACCTCTAGTAATCCCAGCTACTGTGGAGGCTGAGGCAGAAGGATGCAAGTTCAATGACAGCTTAGTGAGACCCTTTTACAAGATAAAAAAGAAAAAAGGTTTGGGGGTGTAGCTCAGTGTGAAGGCCCTGGGCTCAATCCCCAGTACAGTAAAAAAAAGAAGGGAAGGGAAGGGACACATGAAAATGTTAAAACAATGTAAAATATTGCTTGAAAAAAATAAAAAAACCTAAGAAGTATTACACAATGACTTTATTTTTAACGTAACCAAAATTCTTAACTGGATTTGTTAAATTTAGAACTTATTTTATTATTTACCTAACAATTTATCTCACAATTTACCCAGTCATTATATCCACTTTGACTAATTATTTATTTAATTCTAATTCTTAACTGGACTTACTAGGGGAAAATTTTTGTTGTGTGGTTTACTTTGTTGGTTTTGAGACAAAGTCTCAGTAGATAGTACAGACTGGCCCTAAGCTTGCTGGGTATTGCTAGGTAGCCCAGGCTGCCCTCGAACTTGTGACACTCCTACCTGGACTTCATGAGTGCTAGGATCACAGGTGCTCACCAACAGGATAGGGGTGTGGGCGAGGGGGGGGATAAGTTTTGGAAGCAAATAAATTAAAAGAGCTTTATAATTAAAATTCCCTAATACACCTAACCAAAATAGGTTTAAGAGACAATTTACTCTATTTACAAAGCAAAGCTATAACTATTGTGTCTAGTAACTAAAAGTTTACAAATTAAATTAAAACTGTGCTTACCTTCCGGGACCACAACTATGTTATTTGAGTGAAGGTATCTGTATGTAGGGAAGGGGAGAATAAAGGGAAAAAAGATTTAAAAAAAGGAAATGCAAACCCACAGGTGTTATTTATCATTCAGTACTTTTGCCAGATAATCAGTTAGCAAAATACTGTACTCATTTTGAAATTTATCCAACATAAATGAGACAGCATTTTCTTTCACACCCTACTACAGTGTAGCAACCCAAAATATATGGTTATCATGGCTACTTCATACTATTTTGAGAGCTATGCTTTATGCTAGAATCACAAATATTAAATCTACTTATTGACTTAGTTATATTCTAAACTAAAACCATTTGTAGTAAGTTATGTAGTGTTTTTCAAGCTCATTAAAAATTACTAGTTTCTCTAGTTCATTTTGAATTATTCAGGTTTTTCAGAAATACACCTATTGTGTAAAGAAAAAAAACCCCTATTGTGTAAAGGTAGATATAACTTTTAGCTTCTAAAGGATAACTTCACAATATAAAGATATTCCTAGCTAGTGTGCTTACTGAGAACCAAGAATGGTGAGATTAAATATTCATCATTTAAAGTACTCGTAGAAACACTCAACTGTCAAGATACAGAATTTATTTCACAGCAAAAGGAATTTTGTAAACAGGAAGACAAAGTCTTCTCTTTAAAAATAAAAGTACTGCCAGGGCTGACAAGTCCAGGCAAGTCAGTGATTAACACCATGGCGACTGAAATACCTTTAGCACACTCTGGTGGAGACTTCATGTCACCATCAATAACCGGCCAGTCAGGGAAAGGACACAGCCACTTTGGAGATCAATGATTTAAGAGAACAAATTTATATCACTGATTTTAGTAAACTTTATTTCCAAACCTATTGTTTTATTTATTATATTTCAAGATTAATCCTTAGGAAGTATTTTTAAATAGAATTTAGACATGATCTTCTACATTTTTGCTAAAATGTCAATGAACACAGAGTAAGAAAAACAGAAAATTAATAATTTCACGTTGGTTATTCTATGCTGGATTAAATCAGTTTTGAGGAAAATACTAACCTGCTAGATTTATCGGTTAAGGCCTAGAAACACCTGGACATGTATTTCTTAACTTGTTTCCAGGAAAAACCTCAAGGCCATTCACGGAGGTTTCAGATTCTTAGGGTTTGGAACTGGCTTTTCAAGAACAGATGTAAGCAAGAAGGCAAGTCATCGGGTCAGTGATGTCATGAGCTCAAGATCCCTCCCACAGGACATGACTGCCCTCAGGTCATCCAATCAAAGAGCAGCTTTCCCCTTCTCCCTTCTGGTAAATCCCCTCCCAACAGCACAGGGGCCACTTGAGTTTATAGCTCCTGGCCTCCCTGCTGGGTGGCTATACAATAAAGCTTTTCTTTTCACAAATCCAAGCGGTATAGTGTGGTCTTCTACGTATGTCAGGCAACAAACCCTTGCTTGATAACTATAGGACATAATTCAAACAAATCTACCATTCTATGATAAATTCTATGATAAATTTCATTCCTTATTTTATGTATATGAATTGATGACCTTTTAAAAAAATCAATACTCTTGGACATTAATTTTAGGAATATCTAATTATTTTATCAAGTGACCTTAAAAATTCTTTGTGTTAAATGATTGTAAATTAGTATCCACATATACACACAAAAATATACCTACTTGCATCTGCTACACAAAAGCCAGAATGCCTGCATATGAAAATATACAATGAGTCTTTAAAAAATTGTTTCAACAAAATACTTGCCTCAAGTTCTATAAAAAAGAATCTTAAAATGTCCAAACTGAAACAGGTTCCCACTATGTGACTGTAATTTGAAAGTGTATTTCACACATTAAATGTACCTTTGTTACAATAAAGATGGTGCAGACAGTAGTATGGTGTGGCCCCGAGACCATCCTGTACTGAGTGAATCTCATCCCAATTCCTCAACTAATTCTGATGTGACACCAGTCGAGAACCACCACTAGCATAGTGCAATTCCTTTTACAGTGAAAAAGACTGGGGACTTGGTGCATTTCAGGCAGTGAAGGAAATCTCTGTCTTATGACCACGAATAGCCAGCTTATGAACAGGTCTTAGAATGGTCTTGCGCTATGTTCAGAGTGGCCTCTAGTTAGTACTCAGCTAATGATCAGGCAGAGGCCAACCACTCAAGTAACTGAGCAAATATTTTTTAAAAGGCCTGAGGGTAAAGAAAGAAGAGAGGTGGAAACTCTTGCTAACTCATTCTGTGAGGCCAATATTACAGTGATACCAAATCTAGAAAAAGATACCACAAGAAAAGATGACAGAGAGATATCCCTTAGAAAGTCACATATAAAATTACACAAGAAAACAAGCCTAGTTCAACAACATATAAAAAAGCTCATACTCCATGACCAAATGGGACTGACCTCAGCAATGTCCAAGTATCAATCGCTGTAACTAACACACCATGTTAGTGGAATAAAGGATAAAAACCACATGATTACCTCAATAGGTTAAAAACAGATACTTGACAAAATCAAACCTTTTTAAGTTAAAAAAAATTCAACAAACAAGAAGTAGAAGGGAAATTCCTCATTATCAAGTACCTATGAAAAACTTACAGCTAAGATTACACTTAATGGCAAAAGACTGAAAGTTTCCCCTCAAGATAAAAAAGAACAGAAAGATACCTGGCTTCCTCACTTCTTTTCAATTTTCCAAGTTCTAGCCAGGTCACTTAATCAAGAGAATAAATATAAGGCACACAGATTGGAAAGGAAAAAGTAAAGCTATCTCACTACAGCAGTTTCATTCCAATCACATAAACTGAAAATTCACACATATACTTCTAAAAAATGTTCATAATGGCATTATTCCTTATAGCCCAAATATGGGAATGACTCAAATGTCCACCAACTGATGAATGGAATAGCAAAATGTGATATAGCCATGCAATGGAACATTATTTAGCTATAAAAAAGGAATGAATTCTGGTACATGCTACAACATGTAAGAACCTTGAAAATATTATGTTGTATTAAAGCAAACAGACATAAAAGGCCACATATAATATTATTCTATTCATACGAAATGTCCATAGAGGTAGACTATCCATAGAATCAGGATCCACAGAAGCAGAAACAAATGATTTCTAGGGGATTAATAGAGATTAGGAGAAGGTGGGAAGGGCAGCTGATGGGTTTCTTTTTTGGGTAATGAAAATGTTCCGAAATTAGTCAATGGCAATATTTGCACAACCTTGTGAATACACTAAAAATCACTGAGTCCTATACTTGGAAAGGTGCATATACTCTGTGGTGCGTGAATTGTATCTTTTTTTTTTTTGGTACCGGGGATTGAACTCGGATCCTTCCATTTGCAAGGCAGGCGGGGAAACCACTGAGCTAAATCCTCAGCCCCCCGTGAATTATATCTTAATAAAAAGAAATGAAACATGCAATTACCATATGACTAAGTAATTGCAATCCTAGGAATTTATCCTAGAGAAATAAAAACTTATCTAGAAAGCAGCATATACACAAATGTTCACAGTGGCTTTATTCATAAGTCAGAAATTGGAAACAATAATATATTCTTCAGTAATGAATGAGTGAACAAGCTATGTTCTATCCATAACATGATATAGTGGTCCCTCAGTTCACGAACTCAATTCTCTCCATGATTCTGGTTGCAAACCAAATTGGACAAGAACCAAATCAGATTTCCCCATAAGGTCACACTGAACCTAACCACTGAATTTGATTTGGTTCTCATCCAACTTGGCTTACCATAAGAACTGTGGAGAGAATCAAATTTGTGAACCGAGGTAACTCGGTGTAAAAACCAAGGTATAACTAGGTAATAAAATGAAGCAAACTATTGATATACGCAACAACTTAGAACTCCAGGGAGTTATGCTGAATGAAAAAAGTCCATCGCAAAATGTTTCATACTGTATGATTCCATTTAAATGATATTCTTCTAATGACAAAATTGTAGAGGAATGATGGCCAGGAGATCAGTGTTTTCCCAGGGTGTGGGGGTGTGTTTAAAGGGTAGCTCCTTACACCGATGGAAGCGTTCTCTACCTCGATTAGGATCCTGTTTATATAGATCTACATTGATGAAAGTGATAAAAATCAACACTGACAAAATTGCATGAACTGAACACACACACACAAATGGATGCACGTGAAACTGGTGAAACTGAACAGTCAGCAAACTACGAATGTCCGTTTCCCGGTAGTGGTGTTGTACTACAGGAATGCAAGACAGTAACATGAGGGAAACCAGGAGGAGCATGCACACGATGTTTCTGTAGTACTTACATGTGAGCCTGCCATTATCTTAAAGTAAAATGTTTAATTTAAAAATAAGGAGAAATAAAGACTTTTCCATGCAAACTAAATCTGAGAGAATAATACAGAACTATATATAAAAGACCTTTCTCACTTTTTAATTTCTTTAACCATTTAAATTAAAAATTATAATAATGTCTTTTGCTGGCTAGCAGCTGATGGTTTCTTAAACCCAAACCTCCCCCGACTGATGTTCTCTCTGACACAGGGGCTGGATGGTGCTGACACATCTTTGCCAGCTGGCCCAAGGTTAGGCTCTGTCAAAGAGGAAGGCTTACCCTGGGTTCCAGTCCCCCTTTCATTTCTTTACTCAGCACAGAAGCCAAAGCCAGAGGGACTCAACTCACAGGACTTCTAGGCTAACCTCAAGCCACATTTCCAAACTAGGAACTCTCCACCCAGAAGCCATTATTGTACCAGCTCTGGCTGCAGCCTCTGGCCACATTTTGCTCACCCAGCAACACACTTCTGTAGATCAGCTCTAACCCCTTCCAGGAAACTGCCTTACCACCCTAGGGTTACCTCTGTGGTAGCCCTGCCACATAACCAGGCAGGCTGGTCAGATTGGCCAGCTCCACACTGCCAGCCTCCCCATGACAGTGAGCTGCTAAGACACAGCGCCTCTGCCCAGACCATTGGGAAGTCTCTCCAGGACCAGGAGAGTACGTTCTTGAGGCAGCCATATC